ATAGGCTTTTGATTACTCTTAGTAAGCACTTATAACAATATTAAAAAGGTAGATTCTAATATTTGTATAAAAAAATTCAGTTATTGTACTTAAAGTAAAATTTATTAATATAATTACAAAAGTTTGATTAAACATCAACTGAATGAGAATTTTACTCATAATTGATCATCTTATTTATTTTGATCAGAATAAAACTTGTTATAAATAATTTTAAAATTATTTTTATTCAATTTGAAATGATAATGTCTAATCCTATTTATACCATTTCAAACTACAAGGAATATTGAGCCAAAGTTAGTTTCTGACAAGATTGTATAAGTATATAAATCAGATTACTTCACAATTAAGTAGCAATTAAAAATGCATAAGTGTATTAGTATATTATTATTAGTTCCTGCTAAGGAAATTATACATTTAACATTTAAAAATATTTATAATTTATCAAATCAAATTTTGTAATTTGTTTGGAATATTATTAATAATATAAAAAATAAAATACCCTTACAAAATATACAATAATACTCTGAAGAATAATTTATGCTTGATAAATTTTATGGCTTGCATGATCCATCTATGAAATAAGAATCATCACAAACCAAATTTACCTATTTAAATGTCTATTTTATCCAATTAAATAAGATAAATATTTTATTCCAGTATAAAATGGACCTAACCATCCAAAACAAGTTTTTGATTTGTATCATGTTCAAATTCATAATGAGGAACTATTTTAAATAGTGTTATGATGTATGAGATTATAATAAGGAACTAGAATCAGTTATTTGTGATATGAAGATGGAAAAGGACACTGATCAAACATGTATTTAAATAATCTCGATTCTCACATCAGCAAGCTGGAGTAGATTAAAATTAATTAATTTAGTTAATTCAGTTGGATAATTACATCTTTAAATTTAATAGATTTATAAGAGATAAATTTTTTTGTATTTTGGATGTTTAGATAATTAAACTCAATTGATCTTATAAGTTGAATTAAAAATTTTTAATAAGTAACAAAAAATTTTAAATTACGTGAAGATTATAATTAATTCTAAATACATTTTATTTCAAAAATTAGTCTAAAAATAAATTGCTTTATGTAATCGTTCTCCATAAGACTTTTGGAATTATTATTTTAAAGGATTAGCCCTGATGTGTGTTATTCAAATTTAGGATAGAAGTTAAAAATAACAAATATTATTGTCAGATTTTTACATTCATAATTAAAAATTATTAAAACTCTACTTAAAAGACCTTTTAACATGATTGTAATAAAATTAATATTCTCTTGGAACTAAATTACACCTCTTGTTAGGCAGTTTCATTTATTCAGGACATATCATGTTTTATTTTTTTTAATTAATAGAAGAATATATGTATCTTCATTATATTATTAATTCACCTGATAAATCTCAATAAAAATACTATATAGGGAGCGAAGGAATAATTATGAAACTTATATAGAATATATTTATGAAAAGCTCTATTAAGATGTAATTTTGTATTAGTATCATTTTGATTTCTAAATTACAAGAATGATGTTTTTATTTTAAAGAACTTTTACTATAAGAAAATATTTTTACCATAAACCAACTCAAGTAAAATTTCTTTTCTTGAATATAATGATAACTTAATTCTGATCAAATTCTAACTTATAAATACATTTTACTTAAATAATCTTTAAAATTTTTCATAATACTAAATATAAGTATCTTTTATTTTTCTATATTGATCAGATAAATTAGATAGTAAAATTTAATTGATACTCTAAGTTTAATAATTTCATAAACTTATTACCAATCAAGTATTTTCAAATACTGAATTACAATTTAGAATAGATCAAAATAAGTAAATATTAAATTCATATTTCAGTTTCTTGTAAATTAGAATTCTTTTCTTAATTCATTAATCAAAGGTATCTCTATATTAAAAATTAAATAGCATAATTCTTTTATTCATTAACTTATTGTTAAATGAATGAAATACAGATTAGAGAAAATGAAGGTATAATAAAATAGACTCAGTGATAAAAATGGAAAATAATTAGTAAAAAATAATTAACCTTATTTATAATCTTTTTATACGTATGGAATTCTATATTTATATGTTTTCCTCAATATCTAATATTACTTCATTACTTAAGATGATAAAAATATCAACTTATTATTATAATTATTATCTATACATAAATAATTATTTAATACCATAAAAAATTACTATTTAATTTTAATTGTGGTGCATTAGCTATTCGTTGCAGGTTAGGCATCTCCATTCCAATATTTTCATAGTAAAAAATAGAGAGACACTTATTAAATGATTTAGGTAATTGAGACAAAAACTATAGTTTTCATTTTGGTTCTAATGAGAAATCTGTAATCACTTTAGAGGTTGATGCATCTATCACCTAATCATTCTTGGCCTGAAAAGCTTTCACTATCTAGAAACTAATCATATTAAAATATATAATGATATCACGAAATTATAATTTTAATATTTTGATGATATTAAAATAAAAAATCTAACTAAATTATTTCAATTTTCTAAATTTTAAGATATATATTTTCAAGAACTATATAAATCAGAGTTTATCAACCATACTTTTCATTTACTTGCTAAAATTAGCTATTAAGAAGAAACTAAATTATAATAATTAGTGCCATAAAATATAATCTAAAAGGTATATATATTGATATCAAAAATGTGATAATGTTTAGATCTAAAAGATTATAACGCAAATTTGATTAATATAGAAAGGAGAAACTTTATAAAAAAAATATGGATCTTTTAATTTATTTAAAAAAGTTTTTTTTCAGACTTTACAAACAAACAAAAAAATACAAAACATATTTATATATTAAATAATCATCTGATTTGCACAAAAAATTTTTCTTTCTAAGACAAGAGTTGAAATTTATGTATATCTGATTTCTAAAGTTAATTTAGACTTTGAATAACTAATAGTGGAATAAAACTTTGAAAATCATCTTTAGTGAAGTACTTTATACTTAAGAATTAAATTAAGTGAGTCCAATAAAGATAGTTTGGTTTAAAATTAATCTTATAGAAAGTGAAGAGAAATTTCAAGATATTTGCACTTATTTTTATTTTATGATTTCCTATGAAATAAATTCATATTAAATTGATTTATTGTTATGTAATATATGATTTATGGAATATACTTCTCGTAAATAGAGATTGAAATTAATTATATTTTTAATCTACAATAAAGAATGTTTAAGAATAAATTTAACTAAATATCTGTTCTAGTGCTTATTCTATGGATTATTAATCTTAATGTTCAATAAAATTTTTCAAATATTCACTAAAAATACAAATTTTAAAATTAAATGAATTAAACTTTCAATTCAATAAATTTAATGATATAATTTAGAATGAATTAATTATAATTTAGTTAATATAAGTATTTAAAATATTTGGAATTTATTCTATTTTGGTGAATCTTTTTTTTGTTTTTCAAGTCTAATAATTCCAACTCATAAATACACTTTAATCTCTTGTTGTGTTTATGACTACAAATTTATATGAATTTTCACTAAATCCATAACTTTTATAAAATTTAGGAATTAAAGGATTTTAGAATTTCAAATAGAAATTATAGAATGATCTGAAGATTTGTTAACTTGCCAAGATTCAACATCTTTATGCCATCATAGGATTAATTATTATTTCTCAATACACCAAGTCAAATTATACTGATATGTGACAGATATGTAACAATCAACAACTCTGTCATAGTGAATGCACTAATTTACAGATTGCAGGAGGGATTGTATACTTTTAAGAGGAAAAAGTTTACAATACCTCATTTCAAATTTATTTCCTCACTTTAAGGTTCATATAGTTGTCAAGTGTGGAGAATTGGTTTTTAGGAATAATTCATTATCTAATTTGGATATGGATGCTTAAACTAAGTATTCCAGCCAGATTAATAATTTAGATTCAATCTTTAATGTAACAAAAAAGTACATTATAACTAATATTGATGTAAGTACATTACATTAATCTTCATTAATAACAATGAATAAAGTTTAAAATTAAGTTTATGATACGTATTTTAGAGTTTCATTATTTAACTTAGTGTAATTAATCAAGTTTTTGGTTTTATGGTTAATTTCAGGAATGAATTTTAATTAAAAATAAATGAATTAGATCTAATTCTTAGAGAAATTGTCTAAAATAATAATTGTAGAAGATAGTATTTCCTCTATTTTAATATAAACAAATTTAGGTTTATGCTAATAAAGTATATTATTTTCTAGCTTTTTCAGAAATTTTGATGGTTAAGCAGAATAATATTCTGTTGTAAATTAATTTTCTACTCAAAGTAATACATAATTTACAACTCATTATATATATATTTCTTGTCTATGAAGAAGAATTATTATTTTTTAAATTGTTAATTATACCAAATATAATAGAAATTTTTAAGTATTCTGGGTTTATTAAATATCTTTGTTAATCTAAAATTAAGAATATATCAAAAATTGATGATTTTTATACAGACGTGTTCATCAATTAAAAAATATATATATTTAATAACATATCTAAATATAAATGATTTTTAACTACTTTAGATAAAAAGATTATTTGCATTTCTATTTAATTCTTACTTTATATATAATGTTTTTTAAATATTTTACAATTTTTTGCTGTCTTTGTATAAAAAGAGGAAAAATATATTATACTTTATTTAGGAAATTAATTATTCAAATTTTATTTTACCAAGGATTAAAAAAAAAAAAATTTATCTGCCCTTTAATATTATAATCATAATGATCTTTAAATTTATTATTAAATATGATATAATTAAGAGAAGGATATTTTAGTGTTTGGATTACTTTTCATCAATTTTCTAAATAGCTGTAATAAGGGATTGTAATTAACACGTTATCAATATATAGTTTGCTAATTTCCTTCCTCCTATGTTATAATATTTATTTATTTTAAGTAATAAAATCTTGGTTATAAATAATATTTATATTTTGAGTTTTATACAAGCAGATACCTGATCACATTTTGGATATTATTGATA